TTAATTCACTTTAGCTGATCTGAACAATTGCTATTATATTATTTAAGGACGTTAACGAAACAAGGTTGTTTTTAAATAAGACTGTATTAGTCCTATTAATGCTTGAAAACATGTATTTAAATTTAGAATATTCGAGATTCAGAAAGTATCTCCTAATAACTTAGATTCAATGATTTGGAAAATGCTGCCCTTGTTAATGTCGACCCCTAAATTGGGGTAAACGGATATTGACAAACGCACAGGCGGTCGCTAACGCGATAGATAAGCGTTCGCCTTGCTGTAATGGGAACCTAAATCGGCCCTTTTTCTTTAGTCATTGCGGTTCTCTTGGCTGAAGAAAGTATAGCTTTTAAATCGACAAATGTATTGTGGTATCTGGAAGACTGAAAAATAGTTCAACAATATATTTTGAAATGCGTCGAGATGTGTGTAAAAAATTACACAGTTAATACCACGGTTTTTCGTTAATTTATAGAACAAATTTTAGGGAACGGAAAGTGGATTTTAAGGTATAGGAACATAGGAAATATCCTCTTTGTGTGCGTCGTCTACGCCGATTAGAAGTGGGCAATGGTCTCTTGACTATTTCTACGAATTCACATGTCCGTTTGTTTGCTATCTTATGATAAAAAACTCAAAGCATTTTTATTTCCTTTTTTTAGCGGGTAATATATTTGTAATTCTAGAAATTAGGGATTATACAAAGGTCAAGGGGATATGAAAATTTATGAAAACGCTAGTCTTATACGATCTCGTTCTCATTTTACTGGCATGTGTGTACGCATTGTGCCAGTAAGTACTATTTTTTTACTGTCGTGTGTATTTCCACTTTTATTTGTAACTCTCAAGTTCAACGTTCCATTCGACTTGTAAATAAATACTAATATAATGAAGCGTAAACACACATTACTTTGTTGCTTAAGATGTCAGCAATTACAGCATATTTTTGATTAACTCTTTTTTTAATAAAACGCCCTACACTTACGTCACGCTTTAGGCTATATATTTTGACGCTATTAAAATTAGGGAGTAAATAAATTAGAAAAAACCATATTGTGGGAAAGAGACCATAAACTACAAGCTGCCAACATTAAGGAGGCAACGGTTGTTTAACGGTAATTTTGAAATTTGCAATTGAGAATCTGACAATTGTAAATAAAATAAAGTTTTTATAATTTCACGCGGATGAAGCAGCACGACAACAGCTAGCAAATAATAAAATGAATCAAAAGCTTTCGTTTGAAGTACCGTTCAAGTACTATAATTATTCGATACCCTTGTTATTTCTCATTCAAATGCAATTGAGTTTTCTCTTAATTACGCAACAGAGTATTTCCTTTACAAATTTCCTCGATACGAATGAATCGACGAAACTCTTAAACCGACTTTTACAATTTATTTACAAGTGCTTTAATTAACTTACATTTCGTTTTGTCTTTAATAAAAGACTAGCTGTTCCCGTGCGACTTCATCCGCATAGAAATATGAAAATTTTATTTTATTGTTTACATTTGTCACATTATCAATAGCAAATGTCAAAATGTTATGACATATGACAAACCATGGCAACCTTACTTGATGTGAGCAGCAACTTATGGTCTCTTTCTTACATTATAGTTTTTGTCTCTCACCGGGCTATATATTAGTTTGCCTACATGATGGTTTAACACAAAGACATTCAAGAAAAGTATAGACTAGACATAGCATTTTTCACCGGTAACTTCTTCGTACGGTTATATCTCATTGTCAAATTAGACACGTAGAGATGCTTCTTGGTGTGGGAATTATTTTTTTGTTTCTGATTTTGATTATACACAACGTAGCGCTAGAGAGATTATGTGAAAAATGTTTCAAGTGAAGTATCAACTATGCCAACTCTATATGTTTTTTGAATGTCTTTGGTTTTACATGATATCGTAAAATATTGGCATATATGTTAGTGAAAATTTAAATTATTAATGTATGTAGTTTTACGGTAACATGTTAACTAAATGCGAATGGTAAATCTGATGTTATCTAGCTATTTTGTGGTCTGTGAACACGTAGAGTAGAACACGTAAGCATGTAGTGTTAACTATAACGTATGTTGCAGAGATAATGTTAACGGTGACTTGGCGAACTTCCAAAGTGATAAGTTGTGCAAGGTGTTTTGTTACGTTTAAACTGAGTTTCCACTGCGTAATACCGCGCATACCTTTGACAACTATCGCACAACTGTTTGATTCATATGCGCTTGAAGGTACATTACTCGATTTTTAACAGTGGTAGTGCCCGCTTTAACATCTTAGCACGAATGGACCGGCACGCCCGGTGTAGTACCACAACCACACGGAAGACAGGCGTGAAATGGAAGCAATTCCGTGTTTCGTCTGATGAGTGTGGTGCCGGTGGCCTAATTTAATACCCTTACTCTTTACCATCCTTTTCTTATAAGGACAGGATGGGAAGAGGATGTGGATTTGACGGTGGAGGTGATGCATAGGAAGGGGAAATGTCCTCTTTATGTGCGCCTTCTCCTCCGTCGGATAAGGGTAGGCAACGCATCTGCAATTGCAGATGTCTATGGGCAGCGGTCGCCATTTTAGCGTATTCAGGTGGCCTGGTATTCGTTTGCCACCTTATAAAAAAAAAAGTTGTGTTTGTCCTGCGACAGCGTTCGTTTCGCATTTCGTCGAATTCATGAGGTCACTCGTTTAGCATAAAGGACAAGATTACTAAGTTTTTCCACCAGTATGTTTTTTTGGATGACTTTAGAGATTTTTAGTTAACCAAAAATAGTGTTTTGACAATAAAATCTGATAGAAAACATGATAATCGCGTTAAATTCTTGATATAACAATGAAAATAATAAAAGCGATATCCCAGATTGATCGTGGAAATGTATAATGGGTTAATATAAATGCAACGTTCTAATAATTGGATATCGTTAGATATAATTGTACGACTGACACTCATAGAGTTCGGATACAGGATAATGGTTATATTACTAACATACAAGCTTATATTTCAAACATAAAGGTGTGTACTCACTGACGTTTTAAAAAAGGAATGAGTAGCCTATCGCCAGAATAGAAAAGCTACCATTCATCTATCTATACTAATATTTAAAAGTGACAATAGCCTAATGGTTTGGAGTACGGATTACCGATCTTGCGGTCGAGGGTTCGAATCCCGACATTCGACTATAGGCGTGACCCATATCCATATGAAATATTAGCAAATTAACAAAAAAAGCTACTAATGTTTTCTCAAAAAAAAATCTAGATTTCGAGAAGAATGTATTTGCGTTGTTTGATAAGGACATTTTTGTCTGTCTGTCTGTCCGTAAGCTGCATTTGTTCCGGGCAATCTACGAAACGGCTGGGCCGATTTCGACCGCACTTTCACTGAAGATAGGCATATTATAGGAAATTTTTATTATCTTAATATTGTGTGGACGAAGTCGCAGGCAAAAGCTAGCAATAAATAAATATAAACGCAGCATTTCACGGTATAAAGCTATCTTCACCAATGTAAAGCAATGTTGTAGAGATTCATATTTCTTTGTCAGTTTTGAACCATCTATCATTTCAGACTTAACCTCGACAAAATGTGGGTGTTTTCATTTAGCGAGCTGTCATCGATGGATTTACACTGACGGAATATTTGATGCCACGCTCCCCCAAATTATGTCCGGGAAATTATTTGGTGTAGACCAGAGATTTAAAAATATATGGAGTAGGCATAGTTGTCACTTCACTTAATATAATACATTTTTCAGATCATCTCCCTAACACTATGTATACTCTATACTAATGTAATAAAGCGTAAACACACATTTTGTGCCGTAGAATCAGCAATCACATCATATTTTTAAATAATACTGTTTTTTAATAAAAGGCCCTACACTTATGACACGCTTTAGGCTATGTTTTCACGCTATTTAACTTTGGCGGTAAATAAATTGGAAAAAACCTTCATGTGGGAAAAGGACCATAAACTACAAGCTGCCAACATTAAGGAAGCAAGGTTATTATGGTAACGGTAATTTTGACATTTGCAATTGAGAATTTGACAATAAACGATAGAATAAAGTTTTTATAGTTTTATGCGGATGAAGCCGCACGGGGACAGCTAGTCTATTGATAGTTCCTCACTATTTAGTTTATTTTATAACAAAAGAGGGCGCTTATTACAATTTTGTAATACGTTTTATTACATGTTAATAGAACACCAGGTGGCACTAAAATCAACAACCAGTGAAATGTCACTATGTCAAGTCTACATATATTTTTTTTTTTTAATAGAACAGTCTTCGGTTAAAACAGCTGGTATGTAGGTTTCATTCAATTGTTTTTAAGGTATCAAAAATAAAAAAAACCTTTAGAACAACTATTTATTTCAAAAACTATGATAAAAATTTACAAACACAAGAATATGACTGATTCCATTCACAGTAAAATACACTTCACTTATACCTATGTATCTATTAAAGCAATTGTAGAACAATAATCCTAGAAGCCTTTTGAAATTCTTAACAAAAAGAACTTTCTAGAAGTTAAATTTATTTAAATATGAGTAGACACTGTAGACACAGAAACGGTAGACCCTTGCTTCACCTGATTTCCGTTCGCATTCTCCTCCTTCTGCGGTCTTCTGGGACTGAGGAGTATCTTTTGTAGTTGACATGCAGGGGCTTCCGCGAAGAGATAGAGTGGTAAAGAGAAGAGGAAGGTTGTACAAACGATACCAGCGAAGAGCATGATCTGGAAAATAAAATCAAGAATTTCAATTACTTAATTAGTTTTCGCTCGTGACTTCGTCTGTGTAGAATTAAAAAAAACGTAAGTAGCCGTCTTAAGGACTTATCTACAACTCCAAATTTGATCGAGATCCTTTCACCTGCTTAGGCTACAAACTCTAACAAACATCCATCCATCTAAATTTCCATTTATAACGTTAGTAAGATTAGTAAAACTATAAATGCAAAAATTTAGATGGATGGATGTTTGTTAGAGTTTGTAGCCTAAACTACTGAACGGATCTCGATGACTGTCATAGATGTAGATAGTCTGGAAGAACACATAAGCTACTCACTTTTGTTTTTAATTCCAGGTAGCTGGAGTCGCGGGCGAAAGTTAGTACTATACTTAGATTTATTGTTTAAAAAGAAGTGACGATAGAAATGACTGATAGTCGATTTAGAAGAAGACTTGCTATTTTATTACTGCATTAACAGGAATGCATTTGATAATATCGTATCGCTTAACTCAACTAATATAAAATGATAACTTACAGCAGTATAATCCGTGGCATAAAAGGACCTTCTCATTTGGCCGCCGTATGTCCTCAGTACAGTCGCATGGAGTAGCATCGCGCAGTAAGAGAGTCTCCCGAGAGGCTGGAGTGGTCCCCATTCGACTGAGTTCACGTATATTTCTGTAACAAATTATATAGATTTGAACGCGTGAAACCTTGGATTAATCTGTTGCAAAATTTGTATGCGAAACAATAGACAATCGCACGACTGTTTTGCGATAGTTTAATCAAATGTCTAAGCTCGCTCTTAGTAAAGTCGTATCTGGAACAGAGGATGGTATAGATACATGATCTAGTTAAGATAAAGCATACTAAAGGAAACAGAAGTAAAGAGATATGTTTAAGGAATCTACGGCGAAGGTGTATTGGTTATAGATGTCTTCTTTACTAAAACTTGTGAAATAAAAGGTAATGTAACTTCATACTAATATTAAAAATGCGAAAGTTTATATGGATGGATGTTTGTTAGAGTTTGTAGCCTAAACGGCTAAACCAATTTCGATGCAAATTGTCATAGTCGTAGAGGATAGTCTGGAAGAACACATAGGCTACTTTATTTTGTTTTTATTAATACCACGCGGACGGAGTCGCGGGCGAAAGCTAGTAATAATACAATTTGATCGCAAAATCATTGAGTTAATAAATGTGATTTAAATGCAAATTAAATCTAATTATAAAGATACATAAAAGATTCTCAGTAAATTCCGGCCATTTTCGATTATCACAAAATACATGAAGCTCGTATAAATTAACATACACGAAATTCCTTGTTCGGTGTTATACTGAACACGTAAAAGAATGCTAATACAGGTACCTCTGATGTAGGGTGACCATATATTAATATTGTTTTCTATTTTTTACTTAAAAAAATAATCCATCTACAAATGCTGACATCTGATTGTTTTTACTGAACACTATTCTTTTTTTTTAAATAACATAAGGTAGCAAACGAGCAAGCGGCCACCTGAAACCGCCAAAATGGCGAAGCAACCTCTGCCCATAGACATCCGCAATTGCAGATGCGTTGCCTACCATTATACGACGGTGGAGGAGACGCACATAAAGAGGACATTTCCCCTTCCTATGCATCTCCTCCACCGTCAAATCCACTTCCTCTTCCCAACCTCTCCTTATTAGAAAAGGACGATAAAGAGAAAGGGACTTAAATTACGCCTCCGGTACCACACTCATCAGACGAAACACGGAATTGCTTCCATTTTACGCCTGTCTTCTGTGCCTAGATGCCAACATTAAGAAATCCAGTTTGCCTTGGTATGTCATCATATGTCATTTTGACATTTGCAATTAATAATTTGACACATGTAAACATTTAAATAAAATTTTCATAATTTTATGCGGATGAAGTCGCACGGGAACAGCTAGTTACTTATAAAAGTTGGATATCCTACTCGTGGTTGACACCCTAGCTATCCTACCTTTTTATACAGGGAGTCAGAAAGGATCTCATTGCCAATTTTTATCGTTATCCCGGATTCCGGGTAATCCCTTACACGTACAAATTGATGTTCAACATGAAAATTTAGATCTGCTCAGCTTACAGACCCTTATCATTACAAGCTTTTCATTTTAAAATCTAATGACGATTATGCACCAAATTCACAATTAATCTCTTACTAAAATTGTAAATGCAAAAGTTTGCATGAATGGATAGTTTGTCAAAGTTTGTAGCCTAAACTACTGAACGGATCTCGATAAAACAAGAGATAAGAGAATAAAATCCGATATTTCCATCACATGTTTTACACGTTCGATCGTTATCTCTTTACAATTTGGTAGAACTGTCACTTACTATTACATCTGTAGAAGCAGCCAATAATAAAAACGCAGATAGCGAGAGCGAAGAAGTTCTGGTTGAGAGCATTAAATACAGCAGACTCGAAGGCAGTCGCGCGGCGGTGGTGGAGATCCCAGCCCATTAGTACTGTGCCCATAGCGATGGGGATTGACGTCACGAACAAGAGCTTCAGAAACTGTAAACACATATGTATTGATAATCTTTGCCCGCGTGGAATTCAAAAAGCAAAAAACAGTAATCTATGTGTTCTTCCAGACTATCCTCTACATCTATGCCGAATTTCATCAAGATCCGTTCAGCCGTTTAGGCTATAAACTCTAACAAATATCTATCTAAACTTTCGCATTTATAATATTAGTAAGACTTAGTTTCGGATTCCCCAGAATCAGATAAGTTGGCCAATCCTACTTCTTATTAATATTATAAATGCGAAAGTTTAGATCTATGTTTGTTAGAGTTTGTAGCCTAAACTGCGAAACAGATCCCGATGAAATTTGGCATAGATGTAGAGCATAATCTGGAAGAACACAGAGGCTTACTTTTTCCACGCGGACGGAATCACGGGTAAAAGATGGTATCTTTGTAAAAAAAGAACTTTATTTGTCTTACCAGTGAATCCTTTAAATTCCACTTTTCCGCTTGAGCTCTATGATAGAAGTAAGCTGTCAGTACTCCTAGATGATAACCAGCCCAGTTGCCTTGAGCCGACACGTAGGCATGGTAAAATGTATCATTGTAACCGAAGATATCTCGAATAGATCTGAAACATGTAACACAAAATTACGAAAAGAACAAGCACGGCAATGATTAAAGCAAACAAAGAGAATTTAACACTTTCATAAGAATAATATCATATTACTTACTAATACTAATATTATAAATGCGAAAGTATAGATGGATGTTTGATAGAGTTTGTAGCCTAAACGGCTGTACGGATTTCGATAAAATTTGGTGTGATGTCGATGATAGTCTGGAAGAACACAAAGGCTACTCACTTTCTTTAATTCCATGCGTACAGAGTCGCGGACAGTAGCTATTAAAATTATAAATAGTCAAAGAATGTTGTAAATGTAAAAGGTTCATGTTAAAAAAAAAAACTTTAGAAGGTACCATATTTAGTCTTTGACAATCCACGCGTAAAAAAGTATAGAATAGTGATGGGCAATAGAAAAAAATACTAAAATTGCAACTCACTCTGGGAATATGCTGACTCTAATAGGCATTAGGTCCATGAAGTAGCTCTGTAGGAATGGTATCAAGAGACTGACGACCATCACTCCTGACAGCACGGGAATCCCTGTCCTCGGCCAGCGCCAAATCACCAACAGGACCACCAGGGTTATTAAGAAGAGTTGGGTGTCCGTTCCGAGGTACCTATAAACACGCATTATTTATTATTACATGACTAGCACGCACTTAGCGGGAACAACAATGTAACACCAGTGGTACTGTTGAAGCGTTGCAGGCCTTTGAGAAAGGATTATTCTGAACCATCACCCCGCTCTGTCCCCACGTGAGAATAAAAAGTTTCATCCGTCCCACCTTTTCGATTAGGGAACGGTTGGAAGTTATTTCATAACGATTTCATCTGTCACCCTATTGTTGATGGTAGGATTAAAAGGTGGAACGGATGAAACTTTTTATTCTCACGTGGGTCAAAGCGGTGTGATGGTTGGGAATAATCCTTGAGAAAGAGGTATGCTCGCTACTATATGCTAGGTCCTGGTACAAATTGGTATTTCAACCATCTTTTAAATACAGCACTAACAATATTGTCAAAATTGGTACAGTTGTTAGGTTGTTTAGTGACGTGTTTTACGAAAGTTTAGATGGATGGAGATTTGTTAGAGTTTGTAACCTAAACTGCTGAACAGATAAAATTTGGCATAAATGCAGAGAATAGTCTAGAAGAATACATATGCTGCTTACATTTTTTATTACTATGCGGACGAAATCGCAGACAATATCTAGTAATCTATAATTCGTATAACAAAGCGTAATTAACAACTTTAGTGGAATTACAAAATGTAGCGAGGTAATAGTACATTTTATAACATATCACAATTTATTACCACAATTATAATTAATTTATAGCTTGATGAGTAACTTTGATAAGTTACATAGCTGCAATTTCCCGATTAGGGAGATTGTAAAACTATCAATTACTAAACACGCAATAAAACAGTTTGCAGTACAATTTACTTGTAACAGAAAAAAAAACAATTACTAATAATATAAATGCTGAAGTTTGGATGGATGTTTGTTACCACATAACTTGAAAAAGAGTTTTTCGGATTCAAATATTTAAAAATCTTTTAATTCTTAGGACAAGTTAAAAACAAATGTATCTAAACACATTGTAAAAGAAAGTGTACAAAATTAATTTAATATTCCACGTAAACGCAAGCAATTGCATAGCCTAAGACGGGTAAACGATTGCAAATGTGACTCGAATATGCGCGCAATTTGTGGCCAGTCTGCATGAAATTGCAGTCGTGGCCGCATGTGGCCGCTTATGGCCGCATATGGTTGCATGCGGTGTTCGGAACCTATCTCTCGATACGCAATATGCATCGGGAAATTGAGAAAGAAAAGTAACTCGGTTATTCTGACTTATTTGTATTACGTCGAATATTCTAATACGGTTAGTAGCCTATCTTTTCTTCCGGACTATCCTCTACATGTGTACCAAATTTTATTGAAATCCGTTCAGCCGTTTAGGCTATAAACTCTAACAAACATCCATCCATCCAAACTTTTGCATTTATAATATTAGTATGAAGTATGATGGTCCTTGCGGTCTTTGCAAAATATTTTTTTGAGGTATTCTGTTTGTCTGCATTTAAATAATTTCAAAAGTAAACAAAAATCAAATGATTCGATATAGTCGGTTTGTTTGTTTTAAATCTACAAGAAAAACAACAAACCTTTTTCGTGGCGTGTTTTCTATTATTTTTAACAAATCGAGGATAAAAAATTTATTCAAAACAAATACAAAAAAGTAACCAAGAGTAAATACTATTACATTACTCCCTAAAGTACACAAAATACGCACATTCCGTATTTCCCGTTGGATAAATTAGTACATCACATCGGACCAATTAGAATAAAAGTCTAATCAAATTCATACAATCTTTTCAGTAAGAAAAATCAGAACAAGCCAAACGCACAATATTACTAAACCTACAAAAGTGTCTACTCAGGAATCGTGTAAGTGACCACAACATGCTTCTAGGTGTATTGTAAATCAATATTTTATGTATTGTACAATTACGGAGATTCGCAGTGTTCCATTAACAGAATAATGTTTCTCGTAATAAAAAATGCGCTTGTTTTTATTTAAAAAAAATAATCAGGTGGCGGTGAGTTCACACGACGGAATAATAGTAAAAAGCAATTACTTCTTAACTACTGGCCAAGATTTTTTGGAACAGACACACATACTGAATCTTAGTTGTTATTGTTTGCGACTCTATAGCCTATATTACTCAGCGACAACGTATAGCTTTCTAATGGTTCAAGAATTTTTGAAATCGGCCCAGTAGTTTTTGAGTTATTTTAATACATATAAAAATACAAATCTTTCCTCTTGATGATATTAACATAGATTGTTCCATGTGCGTAGCTTTTAAGGTACACCGCAAGATTTCCTGATAGTACATTGCATGTGACAATTGTTGATATCAAGATGTTCCCTTTTTGGTCGCTTGCACAACATGACTTGCGAGGTTTTGTTGGTTTTGTTAATGACCATGAAGCAGTGTTATGGCGTAATGCACATGAGATTGACACGATATGTGTTGTAAGTTGACCGTTAACGAGGGGATGGAAAATTTTTACTTAATATCATTAGGCAAGTGTTTAAATAAAAGCGTGCAAACTTATGGTGCATACGCTTGCCTTACTTGCCAGCAATGGGCCTATGTAATAAAATATATCATATCATGTCATATACCTATAAATATTATAAATGCGAAAGTTACGATGGATGGATGGATGTTTGTTGCGTTTGTAGCCTAAACGGCTGAACGGATCTCCATGAAATTTGGCATCGATGTAGGGCACAATCTGGAAGAACACATACGCTACTTTTTATCCCGGGAATAGTTACGGTTCCCGTGGGATTCACTAATTTAGTTTTTTAATGTTTACTCGATTATTCTGCAACGATTCAACATATCTTATTGAAATTTAGCACAGATATAAAATAAAGGCTGCTCTGGAGTACACATGGGATAAGGTTCATCCCCGAGAAATGTCCGGTTTCCGAGGGGTACGTAGTTTTTTGTTATTTATATAGTTCGTATGTTCTCTAATACCACGCGGACGAAGTCGCGGGCAACAGCTAGTATATAATAAATGAAATAGTTCAAGGTTCTATTTCAATAAGCGTGTATGATTTTTGTTTCGTGGCAAACAAAAATTGGTTACAATTATATTATAGTATATCCATTTAAATCCAGTAATTTAAACATTTTATTTAATAAATTAATAAAAGCAACACATTATCTCCTTTTCTCTCTTCTATGTAATGTAGACTACGCATCTTTTAACATCTTTAAACAAGCTGATGCTTCGATCAGATGGAATTAAAAAAAACAGTAAAAAATATAGCCCATGTTCTCACAGATAAATTACCTTTCTAACAGTGAAGGAATTTTTATAATCGGCCCAGTAGTTTTTGAGTTATTTCAATAAATACAAAAATACGAATCTTTCCTCTTTATAATATTAGTACAGATATCCGTAGGCAGAGGTAACATCGTTATTTTGGCTGTACCAATTGCCTGCTTATATACATGTATTCATCATTATTCAGTCTTTCTCTGTGTAGTGTGTACTATAGAAATATAACTCACCAAGCTTGCGGCATACATAAATGTTCGAATGGGAACAGATTAGGCATAAGTATAATCAATTGCCACCAGTTACTCCGACACATGTCTCTCTCCCGCTTTACTACGGCATCCCACATCGGCCCAGAGCCTAAATGAGGCACCCACGTCATCGCTAGACCCATTACTACGAGCACAGCCGGCATCAGTCTGAAAATACAACGGTTTAAGTCATTTCAAGAGAACTAGATGGCGCTGTTAATATGCTAGCACACGGCATTAAAGTTTGTAATGACTGAATAACATTTTTTTAATAGCAAATGTTAAAATTCAAATGCACATACGACAATGAAGGGCTTTGACATTGGATAACAATTGCCGTTACCATGGTAACCTTTCTTTTTTATGTCATCTAGTAGTATTTGTCCATTTCCAAATTATTTACTCACTAAGTTTAACAGCGTGAAAATATATAGCCTAAAGCGTGTCGTAAATGTAGAGTTTTTTATTTAAAAAAGTATTATTCAAAAATATACTGATTGCTGATATCCGACGGCACAAAATAGTGTGTATTTACGCTTTATTATATTAGTATAGTCATATTAAATAACATACCTTACCCATCTATTGACAATAGCCATGGGTATCGTTTTGAAGCTGAATGGATGAGTCTCCGCGTACAAGAACATCTTGTAAGCCATCAAGAAGCCGCCCATAACGAAGAATATTTGTACAATAACTCGCGCGTTGAATAATAGAGATTTGAAGAAGTCGTCATACGACTGAAACAAATGAAAATCAATTAAGAGCTTGAAAATGGCGTCACTGTCAGATAAGGGAACAAAATCCGATATTTTCATCGCATATTTTTGATGATTTTTGGTACCGGAGGCCTAACTTTAGTCCCTTTCCCTTTCCACCCTTTTCTTAAGAGGAAAAGATGGGAAGGAAAAGCGGATTTGACGGTGGACGAGACGCATAGGAAGGGAAAATGTCCTTTTTATGTGTGTCTCCTCCGTCAATTAAGGGGAGACGACGCATCTGCAATTACGGATGTTTATGGGCAGCGGTCGCTTTCCATTTCGGTGGATTCAGGTGGCCGCTTGCTCGTTTGCCACCTTATATTATATAAAAAAAATTACACTTTACATTGTTATCAGACAATTTACAATTTGGTAGGAATGACATTGAAACTTCGTATATACAATTTTATGACCTTGAGTTATTAATTTTAATTTTAGTAGCGGGCACACGCTTTTAAAAAACTGTTGTGCGATTGTCGATTGTTTCGCAGCCATTTCAACTGTTTAGTTGCACAACTAAAACAGAGTCGTATACCTCCATATAAGCTCACAGGAATCAAAGCACGACTAAACAGTTGTGCGATAGTTTAGTCAAATATGTGCGCGCGCTCTATGTGGAAGTATGGAAATGTGTGGACATTATTAAAATAGTGTAATGTTTTAAATGAAGATGTATATTTGAATCCAGACATATCTCTATACTACATACCAGCTGTTGCTCTCGACTTCGTCTGCGAGAAATAAAAAACATAATGTTAAGTATACTTAGTGCAGACTGGTTTATTGACCGTTAGTTAACGCGCACAGATAATGCGCTTATATATACAACACATAGCCTATATCCCTCACTGATAACGTAGCTTTTTAATGGTGAAAGAATTTGAGAAATCGGTCCAGTAGTTTTTGTGTTATTTCAATACATACAAAAATACAAATCTTTCTTTACAACATAAGTAATGAAAACTATATAAAAAAATGAAGTATGTGACACAAGATACGTGACTCAGATAAATAAATGCTGATAGGTTTTAAGATGAGTTTCCATGGTTCATATTTCTAAAGTCTCCACATAAAAGCACCGAACTATATGTGTAGACATAGTCACAGACGAATACGCGTCGGTAACTTCGAGTCCCGTGGAAACCGGTCTTAACTGCATTCACAATTGTAAACATGATTCCTAAACGTTGGTTAACACAACCGCGAGTACTAGAGTAGTAATTTTCTTTTAAAGTATAAGTAAAACAGCTATTGCACGCTGTACAACTGTATTTCGAATACGAAATCATGCGTCGGTAGACAACTTGTTATTACAAAGCTATATTTACAAAATGGTATGTGTTTTTCAGTTATACATATGTATGATGAAACCAAAGATATTCAATAAACATATAGAGGTGGCATACCCTTAAATGCATGACGATGATTATACATCTGTCTTTTCTTTCTTACGTAATAGGCTATTTTGAAAAAAAAAAATGTTTTCTTTATTTTCCCTTATTCTATGTTCAATTTACTACCCATTATAATTTATCTATATCTATACTATTATAATAAAGCGTAAACACACATTTCTTTGTTGCCTAAGATGACAGCAATTACAACATATTTTTAAATAATTAATTTTTTCAATAAAAATCCCTACTCGCGTCACGTTTTAGGCTATTTATTTTAACTCCGTTAAATTTAGGGGATAAATATTTTGGACAAAACCCCTAATGTGGGAAAGAGACCATAAGTTGCTGCCAACATCAAGGAAGCAAGGTTGTCATCATGTCATGTTTTGACATTTGCAATTGAATTTGACAAATGTAATCAATAAAACAATTTTCATTATTTCATGCGAAAGTCGCACAGCAACAGCTAGTTGTAATTAAAAAGAAAAAAATATACATTTAAGGGTTATGACTACTTGAAACATTTTTCACATAATATCACTAACACTATCTTATTAATCACTATTGTTTTAATCGTATTAAAATTAATTGCCAAATTTTATAACAAAAAATGGAGCTTATATTTTTGTAAAATGTTTTATTACTTGTCAATACAACACGAGGTGGCACTAAACTTGACAACCTTTCAAAGAAAATACCGGTGAAAACATTTTGTTTACTGCCTCGTCTATATATATTTTAAATGTCTGCATTCGTATCAAGTAACGGCTGTCAAAGGGTTTAAATACGAGTCTAACCTCACTGTCAACTGTCTATTGTTTTATTACATTTTTGAGGTACAGATTTCTATACTCATTATAGTTACAGTGATTGCTACGTAATTGAAAATCGTTAGCCTCTCAACGCTTTAGCAAATTAATTAAAACGGACGTCCGTTTTCGATTGGACGCTCTGTTAGACTTAAACGGCTAATTTATAATGGTCATAAATCACAATTATTTATTGTTAAATTAATATCCTATACTAAGAATTGGTTTGTTATTTAAATTTGAGTCGTTATTTATATATTTAAAAGTAAATGTCTAAGTTTTTTATAATATAAGGTGGCATACGAGCAAGCGGCCAACTGAATCCACTGAAATGGAAAGCGATCACTAACCATATACATCCCCAATTGCAGATGCTTTGCCTACATTTAGTTGACGGAGGAGGAGACGCACATATATTTATTAACCTCCTAAGTTTAATAGCGTGAAAACATATAGCCTAAAGCGTGTCGTGTAGGGTTTTTTATTAAAGAAAGAATTTTTCAAAAATATGCTGTAGTTGCTGATATCCTACGCCACAAAGTAATGTGTGTTTACGCTTTATTGTATTAGTACTAGCTGTTCCTGTGCGGCTTCTTCCGCATGAAATTATGAAAATTTTATTTTATTGTTTACATTTGTCAAATTATCAATAGCAAATGTCAAAATGACATGACATGACAAATCTTGGCATTCTTGCTTTCTTGATATTGACAGCAACTTATGGTCTCTTTCCCACATTAGGGTTTTATACAAAATATTTACCCCCAAAGTTTAATGGCGTGAAAATATATAGCGTAAAGCGTGACGTAAGTGTAGGGCTTTTTATTATAAAAAGAATTTATCAAAAATATGCTGTAATTGCTGACATCTTAGGCAACAAAGAAGTATGTGTTTACGCTTTATTATAATAGTATAGCAGTATAGATAGATTTGTATATTTTAGAAAGTTCATAATGCTAACTAAACTATCGTTTATTTAATGCTACTTGCAATGCAGTGCATTCTATTGTACGGATAAATGTGATTTATGGGTAACCGGTTTGCGGCAAATATTTTGCAATGATATATTCAAAATAGAACACAATCGCGCTAATCTTGTTCAGATAGTTCAAATCTATGTTACCGTAAAATATTAACACAATACTGTCTTTATTTTTTCAAAGAGAATAAGTGTGCACATTTGACTAAATTAATTCACAACTGTCGTGCGATTGTCGATTGTTTTGAAGTCAATTGAACTGTGCGATTGTCAATTGTTTTGAAGCCGATCAAACTGTGCGATTGTCGCTTGTTTCGCAGACAATTCAACTGTTTAGTTGCACAACTAAAAATCGTGTAATGTGCGCCTATATAGCTTTTAATCAAAGCGACTAAATAGTCGTGCGATAGTTTAGTCAAAGGTGTGCACACTCTTAAAAAATGCTTACTTACGTGTTCAATAAACTCGGGATTGGCCGTGTAACCATAGCCAATGAAGATCATAGAATGCAGACCGAGAATCATAACCATTGTATAAAATCTGAAACAAAATAGGTTATTTTATACATCAATTATTTTCGATCGTATCATTATCAGCCTTTATCTCCCACTGCTGGAGATAGGATAGGCCTTTTTTTATAATATAAGGTGGTAAACGAGCAAGCGGCCACCCGAATCCACCGAAATGGAAGGCAACCGCTGCCCATAAATATCCGCAATTGCAGATGCGTTGCCTACCCTTCATTGACGGAGGAGGAGACCCACAAAAAGACATTTCCCCTTCCAATGCTTCTCCTCCACCGTCAAATCCACTATTCCTTCCCATCTTCTCCTCTTAAGAAAAGAGTGGAAAGGGAAAGGGACTAAAATTAGGCCTCCGGCACCACACCCAACAGACGAAACGCGGAATTGCTTCCACTTCACGTCTGTTTTCTGTGTGGTCGTGGTATACCGGGCGAGCCGGCCTATTCGTGCGAAGATGTTAAACCGGGCTCTGCCACTGTTAACTTTCCCAATGCCCTCCACAAAATGCGGTTCTTCGCCTTTCGCATCCAATGACTTCCCGCCTTTCGCACTAAGTAGTCGGTCCAACTAGAGGGAGGACGCCTTTAAATCTTCACGTAAATTAAGGATTTATCTGTTTTTAAAACGCTTTTTATGTCTTATGTGTCAATTGTCAAATTCAGTCAAGATTGACTGATTTTACAGAAGGTGTAGTCTATTTTAAAGCGAAATACATATTGTTTGTATTGTCAAATTATGTACTTTAGCACTTTATCTGAAATGTAATAATTGCCTTACGTACTTCATAAAATGTAGGTTAAGTAATATTGTGTAAGTTAAGATACTTATGCCACGGTAAAATTGTTAACATTTGTTAGATTACAATCGTACTAGAAAAATGTAATTATTATATATTACGGTGATTTCTTAGGGTCGTAAATTTAATTCTTTGAATAAATTTAACCCATTTTACTCTTGCTTATGACAGTAACCTTTATTAGTTAACCTTTGGAATGTTTCGGAATGGTAAAAAGGGCGCAAAACGTGCGTGACATTATTGACAATTTGACTGACAGTTTTCTGTAGTATTCATAACCTATAATAAATGGGACATTTCATAAAATAATTAAAATCAAATATTTGTCCCTTATGTCCTTAAATACATATACAAATTAAGCATTATTATAAAACTTATTTTTTTTTTATTCTACGTCCATAACAGAAGTAAACCTTTCAAGGTTCTCTTTCAAACTTACTAGTATTATGGGAAAGTTAGATAGATGTTTGTTAGTTCGTAGCCTAAACTGCTGAATAGATCTCGATGGAATTTGGCACAGATGTAGTTGGTACACACATAGGCTACTTTTTCATACCACGCGGACAGATTCTCGGGTTAACACTAGTCTAATGTTAGAGAGTTAATTAATCTTTTACCTCATAGCTTGGAAACATTTGAATATCCCGCCATCAGCACTGCCTCCATGTTTGAGAGCCTTCCAATTTTTTTGTATGCAGAAAGCCAACATGAATCTATTTCCTATAGACAAAATAACTTTATAAAACAATTGGAAATGGTACTGAACTTTAAGCTTTATGCTTTTGACTTTAAGATCGAAAACTAGTGGAATTTATTAACAGATTGCTTATATCCGTGTATAGCATGCCTTATGAGCATTTAGTATGCATCCTTCGTTAGGCCATTCGTCCACAAGGCGATGTAAATTTTAAACTTAGTGATTTTACTCACTAAACTAAATATTATAGAGTACATAAGCACGCGAAATTTATTCCTGTTATCGCCAAAACCAATCGGATTGCAATATTTTTTACACATCTTACTAATACTAGAGATCCGAAAGTTTAAATAGATTGATGTTTGTTAGAGTTTATAGCATAAACTACTGAACGAATCTTGATGAAATTTGGTATATATGTGTATTGTTTGGAAGAACACATTTAATTCCATGCGAACGGAGTTGCGGGGAAAGCTAGTGTTCTATACAGGGTAAAGCAAGAGTAAGTAGCGTTTCAAATGTTTATACAATACCTCTTCCTTTCTCCGCAGGCCAAAAGAAATGATACGCAGAACATCCCAGGTTGACAAATACAAGCGTTAACAAGATAGCCCCTATGGTGTAATCCAAGACATCCATCGGTAGTCTATCAGCTTGTGTTTTACAGTAACGTACTGATAATGAATCCACCTGTAAAAAATAAGAACTTTTATTGCAAACCCATATGCAAAAATAATCTAATCTTACTAATAAATGCGAAAGTTTAGATGGATGGATATTTGTTAAAGTGTGTAATCTGTACGGTCGAACGGATCTCAATGGAATTTGGCATAGTTGTTGTTCAAGGAGTTTTTACATGTTTTAGGTCTCAAGCCATTAGAAAAAAGAAGAATTTAAATTATTTGAAATTAGAACACATTTTCAATGTCATTGTACTTTTTTTGTCTTTTTCTGTACATATTTTACCAACACACATGTCTCCGTTAAAATAACTTTATTTCTAAATCTTTTACGATATACAGTTGTAGAGGATAGTCTGGAAGAACGCTTAGGCTACTTTTATTTTTTTAATACCATGCAGACGGAGTAGCGGGCGAAAGCTAGTTTCAAATATCGGTACAGTCTCCGAACGTAGAAGCAGGAATAAAGTATGATTGGATTGTGTGAGAGATATCTCTCTGTTTAAGGAAATGAATTCAGATATGACGGCTAATAGACATGTATGGAGCACATACTGTGCCCACCCTCCATAGGGTACAAGGGTAGATTGATGATGATGATGAAGTGTGGTTCATGATATACTCTTGTCGACTTAAAATGATTATATCAAGGGATACGGAACGAGGAGTACTTAACTACACATTTCAAGGTTGACTAAGCTATAATCAACCACGATGTCCCAGTGCTGGTTAAATTTGAACCAATTTTTTAATGTACGCCGATATGTGAACACATCATGATATTTTTATTCACCGTAATAATTTGAAAATAAAAAAAATATATTGTTACATGGTGGGAATCGAACCTGGACGTAAGAACTACACCGGTGTTTAACCACTAAGACGACGCTCTATGATTTTGTTTAATTAATGACGTCACTTAGCGGATGGAAAGTTTTTAACAATTATGGAAATCGTTGCTTTCAAAAGATACGATAAAATGTTTAATTATTCAACTATGCTTTAATTAGTGAAGAGACCTTCTAAGGTTCATGCAAACAATTACTAAATCAAACTCAATCTGAAGTAACATATACATTTTTAGAAGTGCCCTTCCAAATTCCTACATCATACTAATATTATAAATGCGAAAGTTTAAATGGATGGATGTTTGTTAGAGTTTATAGCCTAAACTACTGAACAGATCTTGATGAAATTTGGCATAGACGTAGAGGATAGTCTGGAAGAACACATAGGCTACTAATTTTTTTTTTATTCCACGCGGACGGAGTCGTGGGCGAAAGCCAGTTAAGTAATAAACAACAGTTAATGTATCCTCTCTGACAGTCGAAAATAAGATGAATGAAATTAAAAATGATTTTTTCTATATGTCGACAAACTTTTCAAATCTGTCAACATTTTAGGAGCGCACACCTTTGACTAAACTATCGCAGAACTGTTTAGTCTCGCTTTGATCCCTATGAGCTTATATGGTGGTGTACACTACTCGAATTTTAGTTGTGCAAAACAGTTGACCAGGAAAACAATCGACAATCGCACAAAGTCATAATATAAATACGCATAACACAAACTACTCTTCAACAATTTGACGATTCTGTCCAATAGCAATAAACAGTATGTATTTGAGCTTACCTGTAACCCATATCCCTGATGTATGGTTTCGTTGAAGCACTCTCTCAAAGCCACTGCGGTAGATAACGTGACATTTGCGTGTGTCACATTAAGTCCACATTGCTGGGAACCGCAAACACCACGATGTAACTTCGTATGCTTGTAATTTGTGTATGAAATCGATGAGAAATTCTGAAATATTGACAATAACATATTCACTGCTACACTCAGAGACAGAAGGAAGCATACGGCGGAGACCCACACAAACTATCGCACAACTGTTCAGTCTCGCTTTGATTCCTATGAGCTTATATGGAAGTACACTACTTTATTTTTAGTTTTGCAAATAAACAGTTGAATGGGCTGCGAAACAATCGACAATCGCACAACTGTTGTGCGACCGCTCTTTCTGTAGAAACTTACTTATGACGTCACGCCCTTTCATCAATCAAAAATGTGTGGAACTACTTGAATGCTACATCTTGTCTTTAAAAGTTGGAAATGAGAAGGCTAAAGAAGCACTATTCAAGAAGGAAAGAGACAAAATACTGAACTTTTTGACCAACTTTTCAAAGAAGGAGGTACTCAATTCGTCTGTTTTTTTTTGTACGTAAAAGTTCTGTTGTTCTTACCTTTATAAACTGATACAGCGGTGTGTCGTCTTCCAGAAGTTCAAAGTCTACTATGCAGTAGACCGCGTCTGGTTTCCTCAAGCAGACATCGAAGTCATCCAGTTCTGATAGCGCTGGCATGGAATGGTAGTCGAAGATCTCAGGTACATCTTCTATGAAGAAGAGAAAAGAAGCACTACACTTTTGGTCTTTCTGATAACTTTCGTATCTACGAGTATATCTATATCTTTGTCTATACTAATATTATAAAGAGGAAAGATTTGTATTTTTGTATGTATTGAAATAACATAGGCTATATTTTTTTATTACTAATGTTTAGGAACTATTATTAAACAGCGTTTTTCTGGACGCCGGCGTTAATTAGTTATAAAGAGGGTAGTGTTTTTGAGTTGTAACAGAATGTGAAAAAAAAAATTACGAAGAGACTGACACTGAAAATTAAAATTTAAACCTCAAATTGTAACGTATTTACCTTGTAATGTTAATTTTATAAGTTCATCGAAGTTAAGTATCGTATTCAACGACTTGAAGTTAATTTTAACATATTACTTGCTCTTTAAGTATAATTTTCATTCGCAACATAACATAATAAAGAGAATTCTTAGCACGCGGGTTTCCGATCTTATATGAAGGTAACTTCTTATTACTTTAGCATAGAGTACCAACAGACAGAGAGGACAGAAAGATAAATATTTTCACAACAAAAGTACCGTCTATAACTATCTTGAAAATTGTAAAAGCAGTGGTTTTTCAATTAAATTACTAATAAAATCTACTGTACATCTACGTGTACATTTTGGGTAAAATTTAATTCTAGGAATGTTTTCATATTGTATAAATAAAATTAACCAATATAATTATCAAAATTTGTATTTATAACTATAATATAAAAGCATACATAACCTACTACTTGAGAGGGGAATAAGAAATAATAAATGCATAAATCGAATTGAAATAAATTTAGACGTGTCTGTTACAAGTTACTCTATGCTTAAATCCCGTAACCATAGAGTAGTCCTCATATTACACGCCTACAACATAAAGATAATTGCCGTTTTGAAAATTTTGCCAAGGGACATTTATCTCTATTTTGTATGGGATTAAGTTGATTTTAGCATGCACAAAAACCGTAGATTAAATTTGTGTTTTTTTTAGAAAAAAGGTTGCTCATTTGGATAATGTTTCTTTTGATTATTATAAAAGAAAAATGATTTGAAAAGTTGAGTTAATGTAGTAACATTTTTATTCACATTTTATTCCAGCATTTAATTATGTACTGCTAAATAAAAAACCTCAGTTACATATTTTAGTCGTCTACTTTCGTCCGCGACTCCATCCGCATAAAAAAAACAAAAGCATAGCCGATGTGTTCTTCCAGACTATACATCTTTGACTAATCTAAATCCGTTCAGCAGTTTAGGCTAATAATCAGAAGCGTCGGTGTCTCGGTGTTTGAAGCACTTGACTTGTAATCACGCCTTGGGTTCGAATCCCACTGAACCAATGTGATTTTCGATTTTTATAATTTTTATATGTACATAATTTACCCGACGTTCTTACGGTGAAGGGAAATCGCGATGCACATATCGGCGAAGAAATTCAAAGATGTGTGAAGTCAACCCGCAGTGCAGGTTGACTGGCCTAGTCAGTAACTTAGGGTAGTCTCCGAGCCCCTCAGAGGACGTATAGTGAGCTGGTGATTATGAATGTATCAAAAATGCCTTACAGTTAATTTCGAGGATATCTTTAGAACATATTTAGTGCATTTCAAAACAAATGACGTCATATCACACGATTTGTCATTAAGTAAACATAGGTCATCATATTTGTGAGTATATATTTCTAAATTTCAACATATACATCCTGTAATTGCAATACCAACGTGGAAATGGTACTCAGTCAAGTGGAACGTTTATTGCAATACTTGGAAGTATTTGAAACATATTGCCATATATCACCTTACGTATTTATTTGTTTTAAAACATCGAGGCTATAACATAACTTTTTACAGTGGTAGAGCCCGCTTTAACATCTTAGCACGAATAGGCCGGCTCGCCCGGTGCTATACCATGACCACACAGAAAACATTCGTGAAGTGGAAGTAATTCCATGTTTCGTCTGATGAGTGTGGTGCCGGAGGCCTAATTTTAGTCCCTTTCCCTTTCCACCCTTTTCTTAAGAGGAAAGGATGGGAAGTAAAAGTGGATTTGACGGTGGAGGGACATAGGAAGGGAAAATGTCCTCTTTATGTGCGTCTCCTCCTCCGTCAATTAAGGGTAGGCAACGCATCTGCAATTGCGGATGTTTATGGGCAGCGGTCGCTTTCCATTTCGCTGGATTAAGGTGGCCGTTTACTCGTTATATTATAAAAAAATAACTAGATATTGCTAAAGCTTTCTCTGTGTATCTAAAACAAAAGAATTATTTGTTACGATTTTAAGGTGTTTAAACAAAAACACTTTTATCCAACAATTCTCTTACACACTCATTTCTAACTCTAAAGGCATGTCCTACCAAATTAAAAATTGTCTTATAATTCAACGTGTAAAATAAGTGATGGAAATATCGAATTTTATTACCTTATCTGACAGTGACGTCATTTATAAGCAATCTGAGTCTGTATCGGCCAGTGGTGGAACAGGACCTAACTGTTTTGAACTGACAATTAAAACACGCACGTCCATTTTTAACAGATCAGTAACTTTTCAGTTTTAATAAGAGCTGAATGTCTATCGCAGGCTTATTTAGGGAAAATAATAAAAAAAAACTCAATACGTTTTTCTAAACTATGTCCCAATATCTATGCCATTTTTCTCCTTGTATCTATCTATTCATACAAACGTTTATAACTTTAATAAGATTACTAAGAGCTAAGTTCGTGGAAAGTTAAGTGATCGCGAAACCCTAAGCAAGTTAATATTGCGAAATAGAAGGCGGTATAAACAGGAATCGACCGAGAATGTCGTTCACCGGTCTCGTTTCCTTAAAGTACTATACTTTTTCTAGCTAAAAAACAATCTATGTTAGTCCCTTATGTGAAAAAATTAAATAAACAGACTTCGTAGAACGTTTCGGAGACGCTATTGAAGGCATATTAAACTCTAAGAAACAAAACAAAACAAACAATGTAGTTATATCAAACTGTTTGCTTGTATTTTGATATCATTTAATGTTAATTGCATTAGTCTAGTAAACATTTAATTAAAAAAAAAACATTTGTTTAGGCAAAAAATCAGTTTGAAATCTAAGATCCTTTTAACTTATTATTTTTTAGACCCTTAAGTTAATAGTTTTCTCGGGTCTTTTTAAATACAGGGTTATATTGTTTAACTATAATTCCTTACCTTTAACCTCTGTGACATTCTCACTGACCGCACCACCTAAAACACAAAGCACTAACCACCACATTTCGTCCAAGCACTGCTAAGACTGCTAAGTTACTTCTAAGTTAAGCATTAAGGTGTGTTGCAAGTGCATACGCGTTGTGGGGGATTGTAATGTCACTATGGATTATCGCAACTGGATCGCATTTGGTAGGACAATTGTATTAACGGTGTTTAACGTCTGTTTAATATTTTTTTCAACAGAGGTCGCTGTTTCTTTACACCTATGTAATGTTGGAAGCCATCTTATCTATTCTATACTTAATATTATAAAGAGGAAACTTACTTTTGTATGTATTGAAATAACTCAAATACTACTATGCGGATATCATAAATTCTTTCACCATTAAAAAGCTACGTTATCACTGAGTCACATAGGCTATATTTTTTACAATTTAATTTCACGTGGACGAAGTTGCGAGCAACTGCAAGTGATAAATTGGTCAACTAACAATTTAATTTATCTTTACTTATTAGTTAACCAGCTGTTCCCGTGCGACTTCATCCGCATGAAATTGTGAAAATTTTATTGTTTACATTTGTCAAATTATTAATTACAAATGTCAAAATGACATAACATGATGACAACCTTACTTCCTTGATCTTGGCAGCAACTTATGGTCTCCTACCCACATTAGGATTTTATCCAAAATATTTACCGTCTAAGTTTAATAGCGTGAAAATATATAGCCTAAAGCGTGACCTAAGTGTAGGGCTTTTTATTAAAAATAGAATTATTCAAAAATATGCTGTAATTGCTGACATCTTAGGCAACAAAGAAGTGTGTATTTACGCTTTATTATAATAGTATAGATAGTCTACTTCTAGTCGGGCAAATTTATTTCGTGCACTATATTTTTAGTAGTTAAATTTCCTTCTACGTAAAGGTAATAATAAGACTAAAGTAGTTACCACTGCATTAAATGTCTTAAACCCTGTGACCCTTATTTAAACGACTTAATATCTCTAGGTGCAGCTGTTAATGTTCTAAACGTTATTGTAAAATACCGTACGTAATCAAGAATAAATAATATAGCGATGGCAGACACTTAACAAATGTATAGACCAGACGTAAGGAACCATATATTTTTACCGGTACTTCTTCGCACGGTAAACTCAATGTTAAATTTGACACGCTGAGACGCTTATTAGTGTTTGAGTTATTTGTTTGTTTCTACCACTAGTGAGATTATGTGAAAAATGTTCCAAGTGAAGTGTTAACTATGTCTAGTCTATATATCTTTTGAATCTCTTTGGATGTTAATACCAATTAGTAAGAATAAATAAAGAAAGTCAATGGTCAACATTGAATCTGTTTGCCTAAGGTCAGGGTTGTGATGGCGGTCGTCGCTGGTTGTTGCGAGACCGAACAAATAGACCGATGTTGTGGAACCGCGAAACGCAAACGCGTTGGTTGTTGCCACATCGCTACGGTGACAATGTAAGTTTGAATTATAGGATATTCCTGTTATACATCGCAGATTGAAGTACTTAATAGCTTTATAAATTTAAATGTAAATGAAAAAGCTTGATATAATTTAAAAAAGAACTATACAAAATTATGTATTTAAGTCAATAAATGGGTAATAAAGAAATAATTGTCAGTGATTTATTCAGTATTTTAAGTTAAATTAGCCACGTTATTTATTCGTTTTAGTGTCCGTTTACTATAAACGTATTATAATAGAACCTTGTGTCAATTGTTTCTATATTAAAACTTGCATGTAATCGGTTGTTCATTTCCTGTACATAAAGTCAATATATTCTTTATTAAACATTTCAGTAATAATCCTATCATGCTATTACTTTCCCGTAATAGTGTTCTGTAATAAAAATAATATTATCCCTGTTGTTATAAATACCTGGTCAACGTATTCTGCAGAAGTGCGCGGTGGCCGACCATGACTCGGCAGTATTGCAGTTTACTTTAAACTGCTTTTCCACATTTTGCGACCACGGCCGAGACATTTCCAGAAATAATGACATTAAATATTTGTATTATAGTTTTATTACTTAAAGGAATGGAAGTGGACATTTGTTGACGTTCATTTCTTTCGTAAGATAAACAAAGAAAGAAAAAATACTATAGAAATGCTTATGAGATATCTATACTATTATAATGAAGCGTAAACACACACTTCTTTGTTGCCTAAGATGTCAGCAATTACAGTATATTTTTGAATAATGATTTTTTTAATAAAAAGCCCTATACTTAAGTCATGCTTAATTATATATATTTTCACACCATTAAACTTAGGGGGTAAATATTTTGGATAAAAACCCTAATGTGGGAAGGAGACCATAAGTTGCTGCCAACATCAAGAAAGAAAGATTGCTAAGGTCTGTCATGTCAAGTCATTTTGACATTTGCTATTGATAATTTGACAAATGTAAACCAAAAAATTTTTTTTTCATAATTACATGCGGATGAAGCCGTATGGGAACATCTAGTAAAAATGAAATTCTAGTCCTTCCTAGAAGACCTTTTGCTGTTCAAGTATTTTTTAATAGCTTCTTTAGTTTTTAAAACTGAACAAACAAAATTGTTTCTCAATTTTCTTTATGATAGAACTAGCTGTCGCCGGCGAATTCATCCTTGACAGATAAATAAAAATTTAACTTGCTTAACCTAGGTGTTCTTCTAGAATGTTATTTATCTCTGACAAATTTCATCGAGATCCGTTAAATTTTGAAGATAAAAAGATACATCCATCCATTTGAGATTTCTAATAATAATATTAGTGAGAAAGTAATTAGTTCTTACAGTCTTTGTATGTCTGAGATAGAATTATCTGATAAAGGGAAAACTTTCTCATTTTGTAGCAAACGATATACGTTACTGAAGGGAACTGAGGGGTAAGAACGAAGCTTAACAATGCCTCTCTTATCTTTTATGAATATATCCGCATAAAAACTTTTCTAGTTGAAACTTTGTGATGGTAACACTGTAATGATAATTATATCTTTATCATTATTAATATTCCGTAGACTCCAAGATTATTAACTAAAAATCTGTTAGACAAAGACCTTACCAAAGTGTAACCTCAAATACCAGCAATGTTCACAGCATTAAGCGTCAGTAGCCTAATGGTTTGGGGTACGGACTACCGATCGAAGGGTTCGAAACCCTTCAACAGATCTCGATGAAATTTGGCATAGACGTAGAAGATAGTCTGGAAGATCACATAGGCAACTCTATTTTGTTTTTTTTTTTGTTCCATGCAGACAGAGTCACAGGCGAAAGCTAGTTTATAATATAAATAAGAAGTAAGATTGCAACTTTTTGAGTTTTAACTTCATCCTCGTACTTTATTACAGTTTTGTAATATTTCCTTAAATTTTGTTGTTACTTTAACTACTTTCCAATAGTTCCGATCGGTAAAATCGAGTCAATAGACACTTCAATCGACTCAAAGAGAAACACGAATGTTTTCATGACTATAGAAGTAAATTTCAAAATAGAAATGACCTTTGCCTTTTTAATTCAGTTAATATTCGTTGATATCTTGATTCAAAGATCATCCGTTATTTAGAAATCATATTCTATTATCCCTTTGGGCAATAAAAGATAAATATAATATTTTGGGATACAGTTTGCGGATAAGGACAAACCAATACACTCAAAGGGGATTAAGTACGTGACCCGTTAGGAGCCAAAAAGGGAAAGATATAATTTGTTTAGCTTATATTTAATAATTTTGGATCGTGTGCAGTGATATAAGGTCATATAAAAGTGGCGTACAAAATAACACAAAGTTCATAACAGTCTAAATCTATACTATTATAATAAAGCGTAAACACACTTCTTTGTTGTCTAAGATGTCAGCAATTACGGCATATTTTTGAATAATTCTCTTTTTAATAAAAAGCCCTACACTTACGTCACGCTTTAGACTATATGTTTTCACGCTATTAAACTTAGGGGGTTAATAAATTAGATAAAAACCCTAATGTGGGAAAGGGACCATAAGCTACAAGCTGCTAACATCAAGAAAGAAAGATGATCATGGTTTGTCGTCATGTCATGTCATTTTGACATTTGAAATTGAATTGTAACAATTAAATAAATCATAATTTCATGCAGATAAAGCCCCACGGGAACAGGTAGTCTATACTAAAAATATAAAGAGGATAGATTTGTATTTTGAAATAACCTCAAAAACAAATAGACCAATTTCATAAAAATTTTACACCATTAAAAAGCTATGTTTTCACTGAGTAACTA